CTTATTTGCATAATGTTGTTCATAATTAACACCATTATATTATATATTTTTCCAAAATAAAAAAAAATAGTTGTTCAGTCTGCAAACTTTTTTGTAACGAAAAATAAAAAAGTATGCAGTGAAGGGTTAAGGTAAATAAAAAACCATATAAATATGTGATTTTATGTCCATTTACAACTTTTTTCTGTAGCTCTAAAGTTCCGAAGAATACATTAAAAAAGATTCAAACAGATAATCCACGACATCCATACTAATATTACTATCCAGGTAATTTTAATTTAAAATTAAATATCTCCGTTGGAATATATAATAAAATATTACATTAAAGGTCTCTCAGCAAGAAATCTAATTAAAGTAGAAGCATTTTCTGAAAATTGAAAAACGGAATAAGTTAATTGAACTAAATTAGTTTCTGATGAAAAAGCTGCGTGTAAATAAACCGGTTAAATCCACCCGGCGTTTTTATTTTATTTATCCAAGTTCCATTTGTAACTGCAAACATCCATGTTTAAATAGTAAATAATACTTTTAGCTCTGCACATCAAAGCAAATGTAGGATAAAAATATATATTTAAATATTTAAACAGCATCGCAGTGGAATTTAAATGGGAAAATGTTCAACTGTAATGGTTAATTTCGGCGCTATTCTATTTAGTGTAATGCATAAAAGTACGGTTACAAAGGAAAAAGATACTAGAAAGAATAAATTAGTTCAATAAAGAGCTACAATTTCAAACATATATAAATATTGACTACCTAAAAAATGGGTGAAAGAAACTAAGATATTTAATGAATTTTATTTTTTTATATGATCAATTCGACCACTGCAAAGAATAACGTTGTAACCAGCATTATTGCAAAAAAATACAATTTTTAATAATACAATGGTATATTACATCACTTTCATTTAACAAACAATCACACACATATCTCTTCTTCATTGGATCAAATCTATCTCCTCAAGAACTTCCCGTTTACTGTCAAACAACTGCAATAACAGAATTGAGTTCTCCATTCAACAATACATAGTAGTTTCAACCATGTTCTACCATCCATAAATTAATAGAGTACCGGCATGTAAGTAACGTTTATTTTATTTATTTGCTCATTTATTAATTTATTACAATCTAATAGACTATTTTATAACAATTTGTGGGCCTTACCTTGTCTGTTTAAACTTTTAAAACTTTTATAGTTCTTATTCAACTTACTCTTTTAAATAAAACCACAGACATGTAATATTGGCATAATTATTGTAATTTACAACATCTACTTTGTTTATCTTTATTAGACAACACCCTAATATGGGTTTTTATCATTTCAGCATTTATTTAACGTTGTATCGAGACCTGAAGATGCTTTGCATATTGTAGAAAGCGAAACCGGTGGTCTGATAGTTAAATTAAATTGATTGTGAGTAAGTCTTATTTATTATTTCTTTACCTATTTGAAATGGACTCACACAAGCAACACATTCATGATTTGAATTATATCAACTTTACTCTCTGACATCTTTTTAGACATTGTCATCACCCAACTATCCGTTATATCAAACGTATCAAGAAACATTTTTTTACATGCCACAATGTGACTATTATTTATAGGCAATTTATACCGAAATGTCCTCTTCCTTCGAGATTCAATACAACGACTTTTAAGTTTTAACAGATGGCAACAATGGACAACAGAAATTTCAGTTTAACAGCTAATTTTGCTACGTTTCAAAGAGCTGTTTAACTTTTTGTAACAAGGTAAGAAAAAATTAATTAAATAATAATATAATTAGTCAAATGGACTAAATGGACGAAGAAGTATTTGCAGACCAAGAAAAAGATGGTGTGACAATTTAAACAATCTAGGATGCTAATATTGAAGAACAAACTGGCTTTAAAGCCTACTTACTAAGGAAGAAAGAAGAAAAAGAAGATAATTAGTCATAATATAGCTTAGGGTGTATACTTAACATAAATACTTTGCAAATTTATCATAACATACCAGTATTTTGATTTGAATGCCGTTTTGTAAAAATCTAACCTCAATTCCGTTTCTATTGACCCGCAGTTTCTTTTTACCCACTATTGTGTTTCCACTCACCTGCTTTCTTTTTTTCTCCAATATTTTTTATTTTGCTTTCAGATTAACCATGCCATAAGACCATGTATATAATCCAAGGTCCAAATTTCACAAAAAACCAATCGTGAGGCTCTTAAAAGCGCCTTAAACAACATAAGAAATGGAATGTCCTTTGGGGAGGCAAGCAAAGTACATAAAATTAACTATTCAGTGCTCTATAGGCACTACAAAAAACCCTAACTTAAAAACACCTGGAGGACAAACTATACTAACAAAATTGAAAGAGCAAGTTATACTGAAACAATTGATAACCTGTGCTGATTGGGGCTATCTCTTAAATAAATACGATCTTAGAGTAATGGTTAAAACATAACTAGATAGTCATGGTAAAAATGTGCATAAGTTTAACAACAACTTTCTGGGAAAAAAAATTGTACATGGGATTTTGAAGCGACATAAAACACGACTACGAACACGGTTTTGCTAAAACATTAAATGATCTTGAGCAGCGATTTCACCCGAGACTTTAAATGTGTATTTTGATTACCTGGGTGCAGAACTAGATAGTATACCGCCATCTAATATTGTAATCTTCAATGAGACGAACTTATCTGACGATCCCTGGAGGAAACGAATAATTACAAAACGAGAATGCTGTTACCCCAAACAAGTGTGCAACTCTTTCACACGCTGTTTGTCCGTCATCTTTGCGGCAACTGCTGATGGCAAGGTGCTATCTTCGTACATCGTGTATAAGACTCAAAATATGTACGAATCATGGACAGTTGGCAGGGTAAAAGGTGCGATGTACAATTGTAGCCTTAGCGGCTGGTTTGATGCTATAAGATTCGGTGATTTGGTCACCAAATTAGCAATTCTAGCACTTAATGACTTGCCAGGAAGAAAAATTATAATTGGCGACAACCTTTCAAGCCATTTAAGTCCCAAAACTGTATCCGAGTACTTAGAACATGATACCTTATTAATTTTTTTGCCGTCAAATTTTACACATGTGTCTGGATTTGGAAAATGTGGGATCTACTCGTTAGACCGTGATCAAGTCCTAAACCTACTCCCTAGTGCCAACACTGCAAATGTTTAAGAAGTACAAAAACATGTTAGCAATGTAGTAATTAATATGCTAAAATCCATGAGATATTTTTATACTTATACACAATGGCGAAAGAAAGAAGGTCGCTGTTGTAGCTGGTAAAAGTGTAACTAGAGCAGACTTTAGAGAAGAAGAAAGTAAAGACGAATAGCTTGATTTAGATGCGCATAACGACAAAAATAGAGAAGAGAATAAATCGAGTGAAGGTGAAGAGGTCGTTAGCATAAGTAAAGGGGAGGTTAAATCAGATGATTAGGAGAAGAATATTCCTTTATGCCAGATTGCTGAAAATCAAAACGTGGACAGACAGAAGTGTTCCTGTTCCTAGTGTTTCCTACAAAGGTAGAATTTTTAAACAGGTTTATCCTGTTTCGAAAGAATCTATTCAACTATCAGATTGACTGCTGGTTGCGATTCCAACCATTAGGAAATCCTAAAGATTAAAGTATTAATTTAAAACTAGTGATGAAAACGATGACATTATTTATGGTTTACCACGAAACCAGACGTTTGCTATTTCTCTTTTAACCAAGTTATTAGTCACACTCATCCATCTGATAACTTAGAGCTGCCAATCAGTTTAAATAGGGAGATTCTTAAATTTCCTAGAAGATGATCTTAACAATAGTAGAAAATGATGATAACCTTTTCGAAGATTTGATTATATTTCAACATTTTGTTTTTCCTGTGCGATAATTAAAAAAAAAAACACTTTTCGAGCTCCTTGGATAGATAGAAGAAAACAGATGATGAATTGGCCACCTAGGTTACCGGATTTAACACCTAAAGACTTCTTTTTTTTTTATTATTATTATATATATTATTATATATTTTTATTAGTTGGCAATGTTTCGTTTATTTCTAAGCTATTATCTGTAAATAAGTTCTTGATATATTTCTCCCAAGTTTGTTGTTTTCTTCTTCTTATAAGTAAAGATCTCCAATAAAGTTTCTTATAGCTTGTAGTATTCCCTTTTTTTAGTTTTTTATGTGGGTTATGTGTGTCGTAATTCATATTACATTCTTCTATTCCTATGCAATTTTTAACCATCCAGCGTTCTTTAGCTTCCTTGATCTGCGTTTTTACCAGTTTCTTTATTTACTTGTATTTTATAATCTGAGTTTCGTTTTTCTTTTATGAACTGTACAATATCTGGTGTCATGCAGTCTTTTCTAGCACTTGGTTCTTTGCTATCCACAAATGTTTTGCCAGCTTTAAGTACTGCCACCTTCATTTTGTTTCAGGCACTGTTAATATGTTTTTTTGAAGCTTTTGTGAATGATGGTTAATATATATAAGTAATATGATGATATTTATGATTTATTTGTTTTAACTGCCAATTTCTTCGTGCTGTTAGACTCCTTATCTGAATTTGAACTTTACTTTTACTCTATGGGATATAAATGCCAATCCCTTGTTTATTATAACTTTAAGATATGCACGGTAGATCAATGTTTAAGTACATTTAAGGTGAGAATATATCACCTGTTTTACAATTAACATTTGATACCACTTCAAACCAATATAAAAAATTACATGAAATTACCTTTCGAAGAAAAAACACTTTCTAAAATATTTCTTTATTGTTGTATTAAAAACTATTAAGAATTATTCTTTTTACTGGAATTAAAAATACTTTAAATCTATTTTAAGTAACGAATACTTTGAATTAGATAGTTATCATTTGATCACCTTGACTTCTAAGATAAGGATTCAAAATATTTTGTATTTTACAAAAAAAAAAAAAATAGTATAAAAACAAAAACTTACAAGCTGTTTCTAACAGAGTAAATTAATTGACTAAAGTAAGTGATCATGAGGGAGTTTAAAATTTTACCAGTATTTTTGTTAATCAGTTTAATTGCTATACACGAAAGTACTTCGAAATACATTGAAGATGATGGGACTTTGGTACAACTGGAGGAAGGAAAGATTCGTGGACATATCCTTAAAAGTGAGAAGGGCAACGACTATTATGCTTTTCAAGAAATCCCATATGCTGCACCACCTGTAGGAGAACACAGATTTCAAGTAAAATTATTTTTATTTCATAAACTTTATCCAATTTTTTTTAATAGTGTAGTTATTCGCCATTGATGTTTCGTATTAATACATTGTATTCGACCTTTATAGTTCTTACTACTCTAGTTTTGGTTCACTTCTATTCTGAACTCTCTACATATCAGAGAAATACAAAATTTTAAATAATATGTAAACCCATAATGCTTCCAGTTCCCATACGCAATAAAATCTTCGAAAATTCAACAGAAGGTTGGGGAAATGTTAGAATGCTGTAATAGAACGCCATGAAAGAGATGGGAAATTTGATTTGAAGATTAAAACTATACCGTCAAAATTCGTATATATTTTGCTTAATATTTATTGAAGAGGTTTCCATAAAGAACTATAAAGGTGTCTGCTTTCTGTTATCTAAATTAGATAGCGTTATACATCGATAAGTGGGTAGTGGGTAGGAACTCCTTAGACAGTCCTATCAGGAAGAATGAATCATTCCCTGCCCTCCACAGATTCGAGGTGTTTCTTGACCCGGGAAACTAGTACCTGCTCAGGGTCCCTTGTCCGTGGTCACGGATGAAGACCACAACGGCATTTAAGGCAAAGAAGAATACCTTCGGTACGGCGAGGATGGCGGAAGTGGCACCCCCTGATTTTAGGGTTAATATAAAATCAGTAGCATCTGATCCAGAGTAAACGGCTACGAACAGCGTCTGACGGTGTGCCCCTGAGTGGGCGGCTGAATGTACAATCACCAACCCGTCTGACCAGCGTGGTGTTTTATGGTCAACACCTCCCTTCTCAAATGGCGAATACAAACCGGAACGGAACTGGTTCCCAGGTAGGTGGTTCACATTGTGGTAAATCCTACACCTTATCCAATAAGGTCAGTCTCATCGGATCTGGGGAGACAATAGTTCGTCAATACAGACAAAAATGTATACCTCAACTTTCAATGTAAGATCTCTGTCTAAAGACGAGAAACGAGAAGAAGTTAAACACCTGCAATGGGACATAATCGGACTATCGGAGGTAAAAAGAAAAGGTGAAGAACTGAAAGAATTCTTTAAACACCTCACAGAGTCCATGACGTATCGAAACACAGCCTACAACTTACAAGAAAACGAAAACTGTATTGGATAATTTAGACATGGAGTAAAAAATGAAAGAGGAAATCTATTAATTACCTATCTAGAAAGCAACAAATCATTTGCCATGAACTCTTTCTTCACACATAGGAAAAAGCCACATAGGAAATGGACGTGGATGTCGCCAGATGGGAACAGTAAAAATGAAATTGACTACATACTAACAAACAAAAAGAACATTTTCGAAAACGTCACAGTAATAAACTCAATCTATACTGGCAGTGATCACAGAATGATTCGGGCTAAAATAAGTATTAAATACAAAATGATCGAAGACAATATGTGCACTCTAAGAAAAAAGTCCACCCAGAAAAATTAAAGGAAAATAAAGAACAATACCAAAACAAATTAAGAACAGCTGAAGAACTAAAGCTATATATATATATATATATATAACTCAACAAAACCTGAAAAAGAAAATAATGAATGTAAACTTTGAAATATTACCCCCCCATAACCGGAGAAGAAATAGAAAAAGCAATTAGAGATATGAAAAGAAATAAGATTCCGGGAGACGATGAAATTCTAATTAAAATGTTAAAAGAAGGAGGAGAAAAGATAAAAGACTACCTAAAGATCTATCTATCTATAACCCAAAATCTTTTCATGTGTTGAATATTTGTCTTCATTTGTCTCTGTCTGAAGAAATTGGCCACTGGAGACCATATACTGCAAAAAGGTCAAGAGGTCGAGCGCAAATGAGATGGACAGATGACATTGAGCAAAGCGCAGGTCCAATGTGGAAAAGACAAACAGAAGACAGAGACAAATAGAAGAGGCCTATATTCAGCACATGAATAGATTTTGGGCTATAGATAGATAGATAGAGCGATAATCTTTTGTTACGTAGAAAGTCTTCTTCAGAATCTCGTCTTTTTTTCTCCGAGACTGTCTGTAATCTAGCGTTGACTAACGTTTGTTATTAAACATAAAATACGCGGGTGGTGATCAATGTTATCTTCCACTTTATTAGTAATAAAGTAATCTATTTTGTTGCAGTTAGCCAAACCACCTAAACCTTGGACTAATGTTCTCAATACCACTAGAAATACCAAGATTTGTTATCAAGCTCCATCACCATACAGCAACCTTGAACCAAGTGAAGATTGTTTATATATTAATGTTTACACGCCACAAGTAAGTATTATTTAATTCAGATTAAATGGTATTTTTGAATACAATAAAAATTAAATTCCTAGATTACAGTAACTTAAAACATTATCTATGATCTATGGATTTTGTACATTTAGAGCCATTTTAAATGTATAATTGACACATTTTTACTTAAAATATTGTAAATCACAATATTAGTTAAAATTACATTATCAGTCCATCATAATTACCTGCTTCAATTAACTACACGTTTATAGTGTATTTTTATGTATGAGAGAGTAATAAAACAATAAATTATGTATGCAAATCCCTAAACTGTTGATCCGGGTGACTCAATGAAAAACAGATATTTGTCAACAAGTTTACAGAAGTATATAGGAAAACAATTTTAAATTGAGTATGACCACCAGGTATAAAGGTTGGAGCAGAATAGAATACAATAGTTGTGAGGGTTACTAATCCCTAAATAAGGTTGCCAGTGTCGGAGTGATGGAGGTTAACAGGTACTAATGAATTTGCAAGAAATGTAAGATGTTTATTTTATTGGTTATATATAACCAATAAAAGTTTAATAAGTACTTACCTATTTGCAAAATAAAGTTTAATTCTTTAGATAAAATAAAACGTTTTATTTTATCTGAAATGAGTGCATTCCACGAAGTAAGGGTTTCAACAATCAATCATTTAATTCTTCAATTCCAGGAATCTACGACAGTAATTGACTAGATAATTACCTTCTAAATTTATTCCACAGAAAATGTGATAGTGGGTTTTTCCATTTTGTAGGAAGGTCCAAGTGGTGTATTCAAAATTCTTAACAGTTCACTAAAAGTAGGTACTTCAGTTGCAAGGTGCAGTTTATTGTGTATACTAGTGTTATGGAAAATTTGAAAGTGCCGTGTAAACGCAGAAAAATTGGTCCTTTAACAGTTAATGAAAAAACATTAATATTTAATTGTTTTAAATCATTTACAGACAAACGTTTATGTGAAAGTGTTAATGAGACCGTTGAGTTAGTTAGCAGTACACTTGGTGTTGGGAAATCTACGATTTACAGAGTTGTTAAAGAAGTGAAATGTGGTAGTTTTCAAATGCCACGTAATGCTCCAGGGAAACCAAAATTTCAAATAGAATATCATTTTAAAGAAGGACTTTGACGGAAAATGCATGAATTCTTCTTTAGACAAGAATTTCCAACATTGGATAAAGTTCTTGTCTCAGTTCGAGATGATAAGGATTACCCAGAAATGAGTCGAAGTACGTTATGGAAACTTTTAAAAGAAATAGGCTTCCGCTGGAAAAAGAATCCCAGAAAGTCTATTTTATTAGAAAGAAGCGATATTGTAATATGGAGAAGACATTTTCTAAGAACCATAAAGGAAATAAGAAACCAAAAAAGAAAAATATTTTATCTTGATGAAACATGGATCAACGAGGGTCATACACCAAACAAATTTTGGCAGGATGAAACTGTTACAAGTCAAAGGCACGCTTTTGTAAATAACTTATCTACTGGTTTAAACCCACCATCAGGAAAGGGACGCAGGCTGATAATAGTACACATTGGCAGTTCAGACGGTTTTGTTGAAGGTGGTTTATTAACTTTTGAATCAACTCGTGCCGGTGACTACCATGAAGACATGAACGCTGATGTCTTTCAAGAATGGTTCGAACAAATGATAGATCTTCTTCCTAAGAACTGTGTAATAGTAATGGATAATGCAAGTTATCACTCCAGACTTATAGAAGGACTGCCCACAACCAAGTGGTTAAAAAAGACTTGCAGAATTGGCTGAGTTCAAAAAATATTACGTACCATCCCGGATCTATAAGAAAGGAACTTTATTCGTTGTGTGCCCTTCATAAAGAAAAATTTAAAAAATACGAAATTGATGAAATTGCCAAAAATCGTGGAATGACAGTACTTAGATTCCCACCATATCATTGTGAATTAAACCCGATTGAACTGGTATGGGCACAGATAAAGAGTGAAGTTTCAAGAAAAAATACCACTTTTAAAATTCATGATGTTAAACAGTTATTTTTGGAGGCCGTAAATAATGTAAAACCTGAAAACTGGGAAAAGGCAGTAAATCACACTATTAAAGAAGAGGAAAAAATGTGGAAGCTGGACAATATTACTGATAAAATGATCGAGCCAGTTATTATAAATCTTGGTTCTGAAAGTTCATCTTCTGAATCTGATTTGGATTTGTAACAAGTAGCTGTAAGTTTTATATTAATATTTTTATTCATCTATTTAACATACCTTAGACGGTGTTAAAAACTCTTTTTCTCTTTTGTAATTTTTAAAAATTTAAAAAAATGTGAATTTTTTAAAACTCTTTTTAATGTAGGTCAGTCAGTTCTAATATAGTGTGTGATAAAAGAGGTCACTTTTGTTTACATACACATAACACTTTATAACACTGAAATAATTCATTTATTTTTTACAATTATTCAAAGTAATTTTTCAAATAATCTTGAGCACGCCCATGGAGTGGTCGAAGGTACCAGTTAAAATTATGCTAATTATTCTCTCGTTCATAAAAATAAACTATAGTCAAAATATTTTATGCATATCAACAGAAAATAGTTCTATAAAATTTAAACGTACTTAAAAAAAAACTACTGATTCTGGAACTTATTTTATGTCTATTTGATGTACGTTACTCTCTCAAATAGCTTTACAGTCTAAATCGAGCTTGGCCTTCTCCAAACTACGCCTTCAATCTTACCGGTCCCACGCGGATCGTCTCCAGGTTCTTACGTCTAGCAAATTCTGCACGTCCACTACCACTTTATCCTTCCACCTTTTATGTGGCCTTCCTTTTGGTATTGCTATTTTTTTTATTAAGATCCAATAAATTTGAATAAAAAGGTAAAGACTAACTAGACAAATATTTTGCAGAAACCTGGCAGCAATAACCTCCTTCCTGTTTTGTTATGGATCCACGGAGGAGGATTTATTATGGCAGCTGGTACATTTGAGTACTTTGGACCAAAATATGTAATGGATGCTGGCATTGTCGTAGTAACCTTTAACTACAGAATGGGAGCTTTTGGTAATTAGGTACTGCTGAGTTACACATACGATACTTATTACGTTTAAATAACATTTCTAGGCTTTCTTGGGACTTACGATGAAGTTATTCCTTTAAATAACGGACTAAAGGACCAAAGGTTGGCTATGGAATGGGTGAATAAGAATATTCATTTGTTTGGTGGAAATGCCGATCATGTGACTATAGTTGGTGAGAGTGCAGGATCATTGTCTATTGGATATCATCTTTTAGGACCATGGGAAAACGATAAACGTAAGTAACGAGTCCAAGCAAAGTGTAGGATGGTTTTTGAGAACAAAGATATAAGTATATTGACTTATTATTATTATTATAAATACTTTTTATACTTTTATAACGTATGTTGTTTTTAGAATTGTTTCATGCTGCAATAATGCAAAGTGGAAGTACAGTGAGTGGTTTGCTTACACAGGATGATGAAACCAACACAGCCTTATCGCTTGGTAGAGCTTTAGATCCTCAATTTACATCTAACGACACGAAGGAGCTGTTGAATGTGCTTCAGAACGCAGAAGCCAGCGATATTCAAAAGGTAAGATACTAAATTAAACAGAAATACTTTTGTTTTACATAGACATCAGCACATCTATTGGTTGAACAGTGGATGTCAGTAAAATAGTCTCGGAATGCCTTAGGTCTTGAAATTTTGTAACATATTTCAATATTATTAAGTTAAACACATAAGATGATGATTTGTAGCAAATAAAAAAAGTATTGGAAACTGTAAAATATATTATTCAGACTCTATAGACTTACGGAAGGAAATGAAATTTTACAAATACCTAAATTCACATTTTTCATCAACAAATTTCGTTAAATGAACCTACTGTCTTTTTTATACATTATATATGCTGTCAGTATGATAAAAAAGGGAGCGAAGCTAACTATTATTATTTTTACTCACAACAGGTCGTTAAGGCCTAGGGCATTTTTTTACGACATAATCCCAATATTAACTAATTACAATTATTTTAAACAAAACTTTAACTTAAATATGTATATATAACATTCTTAACTACTCTAAAGGACCTAGTGTACAATATTTCTCCATACGCGTCTATTTTGTGCTTTCATTTTCCAGTCCCTCATCTTGACGTGTTTAAGGTGTTTCTCCGCTTTACTAATCCACCTCGTTCTGGGTCTACCTCTTCTTTTGGGGCCGATTAATTTTCAGGTTATTACTAGTTTAGGCATTCTGGTTGCTGTTATTATTTCCACATGTCCCAACCATCTGATTCTTTGTGCTTTGATGAACTTGGTAATGGTAGGTTCTTTGTATAAAGCCATTAATTCATTGTTGGTTCTTCTCTCCCAACCATTTTCTGTCTTCCGTCCTCCGAATATGCGTCTGAATATTTCCTTTCCCATCTTTCCAGAGTATCCTCTTCCTTCTTATTTAATGTCCATGTCTCAATGGCATGTTACTGTGGGTCGAATTACTGTTTTAAATATTCTGAGTTTACCTTGTCTGGAAACGTATTTTGAGTTCAGTAGGGCTCTTAAACTACTTAATTTTTTATTTCTTTTTGCTATTCTGGCTTCGAGCTCCCATTTCTCTTTTCCATTTTCATCGAAAACTACACCCAGATATTCAAATTTGTCCATCCTTTTAAAACTATAGCTTTTACCACTTACTGACCTCACACTAAAGTCTTTTTTTTCCCTTCTGTCCCTTCCATGATCATATATTTGGTTTTGTCTTCATTTAGTTCCAATCTGAATTTCTGTGTTTCTTCGATGATTTTCTTCCCAACTCTTCTTAAATCTTTCTCGGTTTTTGCTAGGATCATTAGATCGTCAGCAAATGCCAAGCACTGGTGCTCATTTTTCATGATCGTTTTTTCCACCTTCATGCTTTATTTTCTAATTACAGTTTCCAACAATACGTTAAATAATGTAGTGAATAAAGGATCTCCCTGTCTTAAGCCTTTTGCAACCGTAAATTGATCTGATATGTGACCCTGCCAAGCAATTTCATACGCAGAGTTATTAAGTGTTATTTTAACTAGCCGGATCAGTTTCTTTGGTATACTCAAATGTTCCATTGCTCGATACATTTTGACTTTATCGACTCTATCATATGCTTGTCTAAAATCCATAAAACAAAACATGGAGCGGAACTTTACCTTCATAACAAGTCGTTTGTATCCCCTTTAATGAGAAGATTTCGTCTACAGTAGATTTATCCTTACTAATGCCGGCCTGATATTCATGCAGGATTCTTTCCGTGTAGCAATTTAGTTTATTTTTCAATATTCTTGCCAATATTTTGTATACCGTGTCTAATAAGGCTATACCTCTATAGTTCTCACACTTCAGTTTGTCTCCTTTTTTATCCTTTTTTATGCAGAGGGCATATGCGGGCCTCATACCACTCCGATGGCATTACTTCTTTTTCTTATGCTTGCACTAGTAGCTGATATATTTTTCTTTGTAGTTGTTCTCCACCAAACTTGATCATTTTTATGCATATGTCATTGTTACCAGGACTTCTGTTATTTTTCATTTCTTGTATTGCTGTCACCACCTCCTCCTCTGTAGGCTGCCTTTCAACTATCGCATCCCCTCCAACTGTCCAGTTGTCTACTGTTTCGTGGTCCTCCTCACCATTTAATAATTCTTCAAAATGTTTTTTCCATTCCGTCATTATTTCTTCCGGATCGCTAATTAAAATTTCGTCTTTACCTTTTATATAACTACAGTGGCTTTGGTAACCTTTTCCCATCTTTTTAACTTCTTGATAGAGGCGAAACTAACTACATAATATAATATGTCATATTTCTTTTATTCACAGACGGGAATTTTTGGAGGAGTGTCTACAGAACCAGAAGGACCATTTTCCCATGGCGGTTTTGAAGGATTTCTTTCAGGAAATTATAAAAACGTGCCTGTACTAATTGGATTCAATTCAGAAGAAGAAGCAGGTGCTGGTAAGAAATCTTGCCTGATTTCAATAGTTTTTTCTTTAATCGGGATATTTCTATTATGTTCATATGTTTCATCGTTCTATTATCTTTTAAGCACTTGTTTAAGTACTGAGGATAGTCCCAAAATGACCTAAATAGAAAAATTAATCAATATTTCAGCAAGTACATAAAACAGTACATTTATTTAACAGTAAGAAAAGTCTTAAATTTAAAAAAAAATTTTTTTCTTTATAGCTTGAATTATGCTTTTCTACGTACCTAAATTCCAATATATGATGGAGTAGATACCCCATAGATACAACATAAAAGTACTATTCAGTAAAAAAGCACCTCTTTCTTTCAATAGGTTTCTTTGAGTTTAGGGCTTATACACAAGTTTTATACGAACATTTACCAAATGACAAACTCGCTAGTTAGGGACGTACAGTTGTTCATGTCCAAACAATTGTCTTATAAAATAAATTTTAAGCCTTATTGATTGTCATACCGTAAGATAGGAACCTAAATTAAATAGACAAATTAAATAAAAGTAGTACTTTGAATTTCACTAGAATTAAAACAAATATTGAATTTAATAATTAAGATTTAACGGACAATTTTGATTACAGACGCCAAATTACTCATCAGAGTTTTTTATTATATATGAAGGTTCTTATTTAGGTTCAGTAGTACCTTTATCTTTGTCTAGTGTTCAATATTAACAAGAGTAACAGGAAATAAACAAAATTCAAATTTTTTCAATAAAATTAAATATAATAATAAGATGCCTCAGAAAATTATTATAAGTCAAAGCTAAACAATTAGTCCCAAAAATGTTTTCTTATCCTCACAAATTAATCTGCGCACCCCAAGTTAGATTGGCCTTTAAAATCTTACATTCTACTTACATTAAATTACAAAAGAAAATAGTACACAATAATTTTATTTTGTTGGTTTGTCTTGCTCTTAGAGAACCAAGTAAATTTTTTTAACTATAAAATAAATGTCCCAAATATCCTAATAATCTCTCCTAACACTTTTGGCTGCCAAATCATCATTTTCTATGGTTTTCTAGATGAATAATAAACTTTTTCTGTAGTTACAAGTAGGTACTGCAAATCTCAAATACTGCAATTTTCTTCTAAATCGCATTTCTAGTCCAGTTTTCTAATACTTTTTAACCTCTTACTCACAAAATTACTTTTACACCATTTAAGACTGCAGGCAATAGCTTACTTGTCATGAAACAGAACTTTTGCATTTTATATTGCAGTTTTTCTATTCAAAAGTAATAGGAACAGTAACAAATCTTTATCTGCCTATCTAGATCAGATGCACATCAGGGAAAATTGACTACAAATATATATATATATATATATATATATATATATATATATATATATATGTATATATATATATATATATATATATATATATATATATATATATATATATATATATAAACGTTGTAATTTTTTGTATAAAATCCATGCAACACAAACAGGACTATACTTACTTATATTTTGCTAATCTACTACGTAATCACCCACTACATGTCCTTAATTCCATTCGATCAGATAAAGTGTATTCATTTTAAAAAAATGTTACATTTTCGGACTCACCTAAAACAAAAAGAAACATCTTAGTAAATATTAATGTATCCACAGTTGGCATTATATATTATATTATTGTTATGCTATGTATAATTGAAAATAATATTGGTTTGCTCTTAATACATTTCAAAGTACAAAATATAATAATTCAAACAATTCAACTAATAAACTATAAAAGATATTTCGAAGAAATGAAAGTCCATTATCCTGGATAACCTGTAGTAAACAAAATTGAAAAATATGCATAAATTATTTTTTTTGTAAAATATATTCGAGTGAAAATATATTAAGTGAAATCATGAACAATGCGAGCGGGTTTTCCAAATGAACTTGTACAGCGAATTGTAATTTCGAACAGGTCTTGAACAGCTTTAACAAATTTTAAGCAGTTTGCATGACCAGAGCGGATTGAGCGTGGAGTGGGGATGAATATGGACGGGGTTTTTAACAACAGAGGTCAAAGGTCAAAGTGGCTTGAAGTGGCTACCCTTCTACTCATATCAATAAATTCTCTTTACAGATCTTTATCATTGTTTGTATTATATTCCTTCTTAGATTTATTATTATTTCTAATGATATGATTTTATTATTTTTATATCTTTTCTCATTTTTTATTCTTCTTGTTACTTTCATTAGTTCTTCGTATATAATACAGTCTTGTCTATCTTTTATTTTAGCATTTGTCTTATAATTTATACTTCTAGTTAGCTTTTTCTTCCCCTACTACTCACAGTCTTTTAGGTGTAAGTGGGTGTTTTTTTAGTAGAGCCATTAAACATGTGATAATTTATAGTGCTCAAAAGTCAGTTTAGCAAAATAACAAACTTTAGAATCAATTTAGTTTCCAAAATAAATATGCCTTCATCCTTATGCCACCAAACAGACAAGTTGTGCTAATGTATATTTTGCTTATAACATACATCTTATTTTTTCTCTCTAAATTATGATTTTATAAACCACATCACTAATGTTTTTAGTTTTATCAAAAAGCGAAGATATATTAAAATTATTGGATGAAGATCCAACCCTACTCATTGATGACAGAATAAATATGTCTCCTGAAGATAGAGCAATTGTTGGTAATTTAAGAAAACAACTATACACATACAATACTAGTTTTGTGGAAGATTTTGGCGGGTATATAAGGGTAAGAATCAATTACAATTTTTTAAAGTGTATCTATTTAATATAGATTTTTCTTCTTCAAGTGCCCTCTCCGCTGTGGAGTTTGGCAATCATCATTGCTATTCGTATCTTTGAAGCTGTTGCTCTAAACAGTTGGTTAGATGTGCACTGGAACCAGTCCCTTAAATTGCGCAGCCAAGATTTTCGTCGTCTCCCCACGCTTCGTTTGCCCTGAATCTTTCCTTGGATAATTAACTGGAGCAATCAGTACTTTTTCCCTCTAATCACATGACCAAGATATTCCAGCTTTCTTCTCTTGATGGTGATCAACAGCTCCCGTTCTTTGTTCATTCTTCGAAGAACTACACTATTTGTTATTTCGTCTGTCCAAGGTATTTTCAAAATTCTTTTAGATATACACATTTTGAAGGCCTCTAGTTTATTTATATTGCTCTTGTTTAAAGTCCAAGTCTCATTTACCTAATACTAATAATCAGTTGGTCTGTGTAGTTTCAACTGGCAAGTACCACGTGTTAATAATCGAGCAAGGAGACATGTAGTCCCTAAAGTAATTTAAAAATCTATCCATTGTCATCGACCTAGAGTCAAAAGTACGTGGTGGTCGTGTGTATTAAGGTATAAAAAAATGCTTATTAAAAGCTTAAAACTTTTATTTTAAAGAAGATCTTTTCGGAATAAACTCATTCCATCATCAGTTTACTAAAAGAGAGAGTAAAATACCAATATTAAAAAACAAGTAAGTTAAAATTTAAATATCTAAAAAGAACACGTTGGTTTTTAACTACTTATTGTATATTGTATGGCCACATGAAAAAATAGTAGAGAACTCCGTATTAAAAAACTATCCTCAAGGTGTTTATGAAGGTAAATGCAATAGACTGTTGATTTGTAGATTACTAAAAACTGAAAATGGGGGCATCTTACATGACCCCTGTAGTTGGTGAGGTTTTATTGACTTACATTACCTCTGATCTGTGCTGGAGTCTAGGGCTAACTGATAGAAAGATGGTATGAAAAATCAGTTAGTACCCGTCAATGTCAAGTGGAATGATGTAGTAGGAGCAAAAGTCATTGTGCTTAAGTTTGTGAGTAGGCCGTTTTTAGTGAAGACTTGTGTTTAGTGTGTAGTAGAATTTCCTTGACTCTTTCCAAATCCTCAAAAAGATCAAATTTGAGATAATCTCTCCCTGGGATGTTATGAAGAAGAGAAATATCATCTGGTACCTTGATTGTGTGATTGTGATATTTGAGATGATGGGAAAAAGAAGAGGTGTTCTCTAACTTGGAATGTTTAATGGCCCTGGTTACTAGAGATCTACAAGTTTTACCAATATAAGTGGCATCACAGTCAGAACATTGAAGTTTATAAACTCCACTGCGTTTACTGAAGTCAATAGAGTCCTTACTATTGCATAATGATTTATTGTTAACTTTAAAGGAAATCTTAATATTTTCAACAGAATTCAAGATAGTGTTTTTGATTGATTCGGAGAGTGTTGGACAGTGAAATGGTAATGAGAAGTAAGATGGGGAATCTGAAGTAATGTTAGGGTAAGCTGATTGTTGAAGCAATTTACGTTTCTTTTTATAAATGAGTTTATGCATGATATCAGGGTTATAGCCATTATTGAAAGCAATCTGTTTGATTATGTTTAGTTCTCGGTTGTAGTTGATGTTGGATAATGGGATGGTTTCTAAACGATGAACGAAACTATTGAAAGCAGATAATTTGTGTGAAACGGGATGGTTAGAATTGAAATGTATGACATGATCTGTTTGTGTGGGTTTTCTGTAGATGCTACAATCAAAGACATTGTTAATTCTATTGATAGAAAGGTCCAAGAAATTGATGGAGAAGTTGGATTCTAATTCCATAGTGAATTTAATATTGGGATGAATGTTATTGATAGTGTTTAGTAAGGAAGAAGCTGTTGTTTGAGTTACCTCTAATGAACACTAAGCAATCATCAACGTAACGGAACCAGTGTAGAATTGTATTATTTGTCATAATTTGAGTGGATTCTAGATGATTCATGAAGAGGTCAGCTAAAAAGGGGGAAAGACAACTTCCCATGGCCAAGCCATCAGGTTGTTTATAAAAAATATTATTAAAAGAAAAATAATCTTGTGATAAACACAAGGAAAGTATCTCTATTATTGGTGTTATGACTGAGGGATTAGTTGATTTAGATGTGAGGAGGTCGTGGGCTAACTGAATAGTTTTAAGTTTAGGTACAGAAGTAAAGAGATTGCTAACGTCAAATGAAAGCATAGTCATATCTGGTAGGAGATTTATGTGATTGAGTTTAGATATTAGTTGGGATGAATTTTTGATGGAAGAAGTGGGAGAAAAACCTGTTATGTCCTTGATTACCCTGAGTATGAATTTAGAAATTATGGAGACAGGGGTGTTGATGACAATCAACATCCCTGTCAAAAACATAATTAAAATGTAACATTTGGAATGCTGTAAATCCATACATGGAGGTCTCATAGATAACTTTATTGTTAGCTACAAGTACACAAGGCACTGAGGATGATCTGTTCAAATCGAAAACGTTCTGCTAGAACTTAAAAATTTTGACGACACTTTTTATAAAATTTTAACTATTTGTTTTTTATACCACAACACACATGTGTGAAGTGTTTTAACTTCTGTGTTTTTTTTAACGATGGTTTACAGCCAGCTATGGGGTTTTTTCCCATTAATTTTAATTTTTTTGTAATACATGGAATACAGCCAGCTACGGGAACTTAGCTACCTTAGTTTCCTTGTAAAAAATAACTAATAAATCAATTTATTTTTAAGCATTTAAGTGACAAGATATTCATTAATGGAATATGTAAACAAGTTGAATTAGCATCTGCAAATGTCCCATATTACTTCTATCGATTTGCCTACAAAGGAGAATTAGGAGGATTAATGTCATTGCTACCATATTTACCACCAGGTAAAATATTATTCTTTTTTTTTATTAAATTTGCAAATTTACAATCTGCGATTACAAGCTATTCGTAAATGTGTGTATTGCAAATATATGAGAGGAGAAATTATCCACTTATAAAACTCCCAATACTAACAATAACAAGTTAAATTAATGTAAGATTATAATTTGAAACTAAAATTGAAATGAAAATTAAAATTAAAATTAGTAAATAAACGCTGTTGGCCACTGTGTCTTCAATCTTCGTCTGACTTCTGGTTGGAGATGGTACTTCATTTAGGCATAAAAACAGTATACATTGTACATAAAAATTAGAAAAAGCCTTAAACATATTGTTTTCGATATTTTTGACTAATTTTTGTTCTGAAAACAGTTCTTACAATGTTGATAAATTTATCATAATTTTCTAATAAACAGATACTTATAGATACAGTAAAATCCAAATAGTTTGTATAGAGAAAAAGACGTATTTAAATATTTTTGACACTAATTTTTTATTATTTAGATGTAGATACAGTTTTGCATGGTGAAGATGTTACTTACTTATGGATGATGGATGGACTCAATAACGATCTTAGTAAATTTCCAGAATTAGATCAGCTCGTTTTTCATAAGTATGTCAAACTGTGGACTAATTTTGTCAAATTTTAGTAAGTATACCTTATTTCTTAATATTAATTTTAAAATCAGTTAAAATTGCAAATTACTATTTGTGGGAAGTACATAAGAGGGCTAAAACCAAAAGGTGGGTTGTGTTTGAAAAATTGAAAAGTTTAGATCGGCGATTTTGTCAGCGCGTCAGCCGTGGAACTTTAAATACCCTCATAAAAAAATTGGTAACATGTGGGATGGTTTTAAATAATGGTTATTAGAATGTTAGATTTAGAAATGATAAAAAGAGGTGTACGATAGGGATGTCTATAGTCCCTATTATTGTTCAATACATATTCAAAGAACATTATGAACCGAGCGCTAACGGACATAGACGAGGGAATACTTATAAACGGAGAACGATTGAACAACATAAGATACGCTAACGATACTGTCATTTTTGCAGACAGTCTTGAAGGTCTACAGACACTTGTCTCCAGGGTGGCAGAAGTAAGTAGCAGGTTTGGGCTTGATTTTAACATAAAAACAACAAAATACATGGTTAAAAGCAAAAATAGGATACCACCTGGTCAATTACTCATTATCCAACAACCTATAACACAAATTACCAACTTTTGTTATCTGGGGGCAAACTTAAATTAACAGTGGGACCAATAGACGGAAATTAAGATAAGAATCGAGAAGGCAAGATCAGCTTTTGTCAAAATGAAAAAAAATTTTTAACCGGCACGACATAAAACTGGAAATAAAAGTTCGTTTACTAAAATGCTACGTATTCTTCGTTCTTTTATATGGCGTGGAGTCATGGACCTTAACTGAAGCATTATTGAAGAGATTTGAAGCATTTGAGATGTAGTGCCATAGACGCATGTTGAGGATTTCCTGGATAGACAGAATTACCGACGAAGAAGTACTACATAGAATGGGTAAAGAGTGCGAACTAGTCGTAACTATAAAACGTTGCAAAAGAGGGAAAAGAGGTCCAGTAAATTGACTGTTTGTATTTTGAGAACGATTTCCGAAGTGGAAATTGAAACGTCAATAAACGTTTCTTTATCTTTAATTGTGGCTTATTCCCAGTGTAAGTTATATTGCAAATTAAGTAACTATCGAGCCACAGAAGACACAGATATAAAGAAAAATAACAGGAATACAAAAAAATCGCAATTTAGCTCACAAGTTTTTCATTTAGCACCATCCAACTCTAGAGGTTATTGACCACAAATTTCTAGTTTCCGGTCACACTCATAAGAAGTGTGACTGATCATTCTTTGATAAAAAAAATAAAAAAAATCCAATATCCCAATCTATCACCCGTACCACTGGATGCAGTTGATTTGTCAAACAGGAAAGATAAACCCATTTGTTATGACAGCAATAAACCAGTCAGACTGTTTCCAATTCTCTGATTTGTACAAATCAGCACTTCAAAATAAAAAAGTAATCGAAGACGGGGAGAAAGTTACATGGAGGAACATAAAGTGGCTCCGTTGCATAAAAGATACAGGAAAAGTTCTTTATAAGGAGACAACGTCTTCCACGACTACTATAGGTCTATTCCATCGGATGAAAATGTTAAAGACGTCTTCTGGATGAAGAAAAATCTGATGAATGATCCCTTTCTGCAGCGCACAATAATTTAATTTCAATATTCACCTTCTTTTTAATTTTTGATTAAAATAGAAACCAATAATAGTAAATAAGCCGTTTTATTAATATCAGCCTTTAAGCATTAAGGTAGTACAAACTATTGTATATGTCAAACATAATAACATTAACATATGAGTAAAGGATATATCTGAGTACCCTGATGAAGAAAACTACTAATAACTTCAAAATTAGAATAAGGTATAAATTGTTTATATGCAGCAAGAGTTAGTGTATTAGATTATCTTTCATTATGCATTACAATGTGCCAAACAATGGCTAAAGCAAAAAAAAGAGGTTAGTCTTCGTAAATGGGTATATTTATTTAAAAAACCCTTAAAAGGGCTACATCAATAAAACAAACGTTTTCGGACCACACAGTCCATCATCAGGTTTTAAAATCGAAAAAAAGACCACACAGTCCATCATCAGGATGGACTGTGTGGTCTGAAAACGTTTGTTTTATTGATGTAGCCCTTTCAAGGGTTTTTTAAATAAATACACCCATTTACGAAGACTAACCTCTTTTTTGTGATACGTGGTATACAGCCAGCTACAGGAATTGTTTTCCTTGTGGAAATGGCTAAAGCAACACATTTGATTTTTAAAAAATGTTGAACTTTCAATTTCGTCTCCTGAACAATAACATTTTGCATAGATATGCCCTTTTACCCAAAAGCCACAGATATAATAAAACAGATGTTAACACATTTTTCTGCTCTACCCTTTTTAATACCTTTAGATAATTTAGATATCTGATAGTGCTTATTGGTTTTCTATATACCTTAGATTCAAGTTCAGTAATCCTTCTTTTAAAAACAACATCCAGGAGACATAGTCGAAATGGAAACATTTAAATAAACTTATTTTTAAGTAAAATGGTAACTTGTTCCCAGTAAAAACAGTAAATTGTGTTAAGATGTCATTAGAAAATATCTTCAGAATAATAGCAAACAAAAATGATAAGATACTATATTAGTCCATAAATATAATTTTAGCATGTTTTATTATTTTAGCAATCCAACTCCGAAAGTCGATCCATTTTTGGAGAACGTCATCTGGCAACCATCTGAGCCAAACTCATTAAGATTTTTAAATATTAATGGAACTTTAAGTATGCAAGAACATCCAAGACAGTACAAGGCCGTTAACGAGATTATGGAAAAGTATATGCAACCACCTTTTGTAGTATTTGGTTAAATAAATATAAATATTTTTGAAGTCGTTAAGTAATTTTTGTTTTGAAAAATGTGGTTGATGATCACGTTTTATATGCTGTAATACTTGAGAAATAATAAAATATTTTATTTGTAACCACATTTGTATCTCGTTTCTGACCTGACAGAGTGTTAATATAAAATAAAAACTAAGCTAAATGTAGTGGGAGAAATAGACGGGCTAATAATAACTGAGTTATACCACAATACGCATTATTTATATCAAAATTTAATGATCTATCGTTCTTATATCATTTTGATCTTCTGCAAAGATTATTTGATCATCTGCAAAATTCAGACCCATACTTTTTTCCAGTAAATTAAAAGCTCATCCAAGTCATCCAAGTAAATCCTAAAGAACGGAGGTTTGTCAGCTGCATATATTTTGTCACTTTTTGTGCAATTTTTACAAAACTCATTATTATCGTAGTACTCCCTCACAATATTTTTATAAATTGGCTAAATTTTCTTGACTTCTAGCATATGCCATACCGTTATACGCCTTTTAAAGGTCAATATATATATATATATCATAGGTATTTCCATATTGTGTTCCAACCGCTTTTATATTATTTGTTTTAAACAGGACATATTCTCTACACTCTACACACTCTTACACTCAACGTCCTGTCGGGTCGGGCGTCGAAAACTTTTATGATCTTCAACGTCTTTTCAACAATATTGAATTCAACTGCTAGAGATTATGTTGGTTACACTAAGCTCGTGATTCCTGTCTGTCACCTTTAAAGTCTGTTACTCGTGTAAAAATTGCTGATGAAAAATTTCTTGATTATTTCAATCGAAAGTGTCAAAGGAGTTTTTAGAAAAAAAAAACTTTTGCAATAATTTATTAACGAATGGACATCTGAAAATTATATTAAATTCAAGCAATATGGATCAGAAAAATGACGCGTTAGCAGAGGTTGGGCGGCTTTTGAGACCCCCCTCCACTCCCACTCTGACATCACAAGAGGGCGACTGACAGCTGTCATCCGTCAAAGATAGCGTCAATTCATCTGCGTCTGTCATCACTCAAACGTGAAGATAGCGTCAATTCTTCTTCTTTTCGTCTGTCATCCCTGAAACGTGAAGATAGCGTCAATTCTTTTTCTTTTCGTCTATCAAGCTTACGTAACCTCATACCCCACGCCCCGACGTGTATGTTAACATAAAAAACAAAACGCAAAAGACAATGTCAAAAGGACACTATGCTTGCAACGGCCAAACGGCTCAACGTACAATAACGTGCAAGGTATCGTTAAAAATAGGAGGGGCTAACGAACACGTTAACACAAAAACAAATCCAAAAGACAATGCCAAAAGGACTTTAAGCTTGTAACATCCAAACAGCTCAACGTATAACAATGTGTGTGGTATCGATGGAAAGGGTAGGTGAGAAGGAATATGTTAAGACAAAAAACGAAGACAAAGAAATTGCCAAAACGTCACTATATCGTATCGTCGTTGCGATTGGTCCGATCGTGACGTACGAGGGCTCATTGGAACGGGGAGGATGTAACAAATACGTTAAGATAAAACAAAAGATAGTGGCGTTGCCAAATGGGCGCAATAGAACGTATCTTCGTTGCTATTGGTCTGATTTTGACGTCTGGGGTGTCAAATGAAAGCGTTGGTAACATAGACACACACGTTTGGCTTCTGTCAACGTTCAATATGAACATTCTTTTTCTTATTTTACGCACAGCGCCTAAGAAAACGTGACATTAGACACGGAACGTGAAATGTCACGTGAATGCTTTGCTTTTTTCGCTGGTAAGCTGAAACTGATGCTGAAATAGGCCAGTTCCAGCTTACAAGCGAAGCAGTAACATCTCCAGGAGATGCCAACCCTAGTGTTGGCGAAACATCGAGAACTAATCTCAGAAGACAATGGCCTAACCGCCCGAACACACAGTTTAAAGCTAAAATCGTGTTCCACAGTTGCAATTTTTCCGCCCTGCACAGTTCCGGCATTAAGTAGCTTTAATTTAACATCTCTACCTTTAGCTACTGCCAGCACTTCTATTTTTTGAGATGGACTTTAGAGCCGCAAGCCTTTCTTGGGCTAGGAAGGCTAAGAGGCTAGGAAGAAAATTATTCAAACAAAAGAGACAAAGTGAAAAGAATGAGATTTTTACTAGATCTCAATAAAAAAATAGGTTAAAGTAACATTTTAAGGAATTACAAGAAAATATTAAAAAGGTAGCAGAGAAAAAATATTAAACAATGCAATTAGCTAGAGAAAACCAAACTAAACAACTTTAAAGGAAAAACACAAGAAGAGTCTTGATGAAGTAGTGGAAATTTAGAAAAAACACTAAAGAAAAAGAAACTACTGAGTGTCTTATCTGCAAAGAAACTACAAATGAAGATTGGTTGCAGTGAAAACCTACTTTTTATAAGTATGTATGAGTATTGCGCAACATAAACATTTGTAAGCAAATAAAAATCAAAAATATTAAAAAAAATGTATTTCAATATTTACAATATCTACAATATTTACAGTATTTATAATATCAAATATTTACAGTCAAACAGATCTTGAGTAAATCATGGTAGCATAACATTGATGTTCACAACGTGTTTGTAGACTTCAAGCAGGCATACGATTCAGTCAATATATTGCCTAAATTAGCAATGCCACACAAGCCACAATGGATGAAACTGAAGCATGTGTACGAATACAAAACCACCGGATGGACTTTTTCAAAATTTCGTAGGGGCTAAAGCAGGGAGATGGGCTGGCCCCAACTTTGTTTAACCTGGCACTAGAGTATGCGGTTGTTCAAATTCAAACTGGACGAGGAAACCTACTAACCAACCGAACCAAGGCTCAATTTCAGCTGTAGTGCCGTAGAAGAAGAAGAAGAACCACAAAATCAAGCGAATGGTTATATCTATGTAAACAATAAACATATTTACCACTTTTAAAATATTTTATTTTTATTTGTTACATGCGTTTCCAACAAAACTATTTTCAGTCTATAACTTCCGGATATTAATAAATTTCTTACATAAAATTCACAAAATTATAGTCAGATATACCACCACAAAATTAATTTTATTTATAGTTTGATCTAAATATGGTATTTACAAAATCAGTCAAATTAAACTCCGATATGTGGTCTTATTAAGTGGTATATCAATTAATTACTATTAAACTGGGAATAAGCCACAATTAAAGATAAAAATACGTTTATTGACGTATTATTAATTTCCACTTCGGAAATCGTTCTCAAAATGAATATAAAATTTATTTAAATGTATATTTCTTTGTTTTCTATATGAATTTTCATATACTATATGTAAACTAAAAATAATTTGATCAAAATCAGAATTTGATATCACATTGAAAAGCAAATCTTCAATAATTACAATATCTTGTTCAACAAAAAATAAATTCGATCTATGATATTGTAATCTTTCTCGGATCATGGATAAACTGGCTCTATGTAAAATGTTTTCCAACCTTCTGCTTGAATATGCTGTTTAATAGTAATTAATTTACAATGCCACAAGAAAATAGCTTCAGAACAATATTAAGAAATGGTATATCAATGTTTAAGTAGTGAGAATACATCACCTGTTTTACAATTATCAACTCAGACCACTTTTTGAAAGAAAAAATACGTTGTAAAATACGTTTTTTTTTGTTGAATGAATAACTATAAAGGACAAATATTTTACTAAAATGCAGGTACTTAAAATAATTTTCAGTACCGAATAATTAGAATACTAGATAGTTATCATTCTGTGAAACTAAAACTTAAGGTTCTTAAGATAAAACTTATAAAAAAAAATTGTATTATATAATAAAATGGTATATATATGAGAATATTGCTTACAGAACAAATTAGTTAACTAAAAGTAAGTGATCATGAAGGTTTTTAAAGTATCGCAAATATTTATATTGATCAGTTTAATTGCTCTACACGAAAGTACTGCAAAATACATTGAAGATGATGGGACTATAGTGCAACTGGAGGAAGGAAAGATTCGTGGACATATCCTTAAAAGTGAGAAGGGTAACGACTACTACGCTTTTCAAGAAATCCCATATGCTGCACCACCTGTAGGAGAAAATAGATTTCAAGTAAGACTATGTTTATATTAAAAATCTTTTATTGAGTTTGCAGAGTTTTAATAAACATAAAATACTGTGATGATTAATGTAATCTTTTATTTTAATAAGTAATGTACTTTGTTGCAGCTAGCCAAACCACCTAAACCCTGGACTGGTGTTCTCAATACCACTAGAAATACCAAGATTTGTCATCAAAACCTATCACCATATACCAACCTTGAACCAACTGAAGATTGTTTATATATTAATGTTTACACGCCACAAGTAAGTATTATTTAATCTAGATTAAACGGTAATTTTGATTACGATAAAGAATTTGATTTCTAGATTATAGAAATTTCAAATATTATACACGACCTATTTACGCTGTAAATTTATGGTATTTTAATAAGTATTTCACAGATTTTTATCACTACACTGTAACTCATATTTTTAATTACAATCATATATTCAGTATAATATCATAAGTGTTCCAATTAACTGCACGTTCTAGCAAAATAGTACATGTCTATCAACAAAATTGGTACTGAACAGTTAAAAACATGTAATGGAACTTACCTTTTTATTTATTTTGGAAGATATTTAAATTAAAAAAATATTAGTGTTACCCTGTAAACTTTTATCAATTGGCGCCATTGGTCTGTTCCCCCAATGGCGACAGAGAAAGATGACACAAAGCAGTACCTAAATATTTTCTAATTTGCCAGGTTTATCGACCACGTGACCTAAATTATCAATGAGAAGGTCACGTGGTCGATAAACTTGACCAATTAGACAGGGATGTAGTGAATGCTTTGAGCCAGTTTTCTCTGTCGCACTGGGGGAACGTGACTGTATTGCAGCAGTCGGTCTATTTTGTATTATATGTCTACGATTGGCGCTCTTTTTGAAAGTTATTTTACTTGTCTTCGATCTTGTAGGCAAAAAGCCATATTTTAAGTGAAATTATAAGATGTTATACTGTACTCTCAGGTTGATGAAAAATTCTAATATTTCTCTGCTTATGTAGTTAGTTATAGATCTGATATCAGCTCAATTATATTGGTATATTATTATGTTAATTTCTCCTTTTAGTATTGTAATCAGGTCCTATTACATTCTATTGACGAGTTTGCTACACATTTTTCCACATTTAGTAAGATGGGGCTTTACTTTAATGTTCATTTAAGGATTAAAATTAGGATTCTTTATCTAAAAAATCGAAAGGAAGGATACTACTTGTCTCCCATCTGGAATCTCAGTCTAGAGCCGCCGTCCGGTCCAGCTACCACGATGCAGCCACATGATTGGCCAGCGCGCGCTTCTTGACGTTCGCGCCACGGAGTGTGCCGATACGTCCCGACACGACAGGTCACCGCGACTATAAATAGAGCGGTAGCGGAGTAATCGTCGGATTCACTCGCCGCCTCTCGATGCGTTAGTGTTCTGAGCTGTTGGACGTGAATCCCTGTCCTGGCATTTGGTTTTCACCTCTGGCTGCGTTAAGTAGTTGAGTTACTGTGACCAAATGCCCATCTTGGTAGTTAGTATTCGCCTCTGGTTGCGTTGAGTACCTGAGTTACCGTTGCTAACTACCCATCTTCCTGACTTTTGATTTCTTTTTCTTTGTTCTCCTGAAGAAGCGAAATTCTTCGCTACAATTGTAGCGAAACATCGAGATGAACCCACTTTTGAGTCACTCACAAATGACACGGTCCACACCCGGAAGACGAATAAACTAATGTCAGTGTACTCGCCCGGAAGTTCGTCAATGCCAGCCCGTTTTAGAATGGACAAAATGTAAAGTTTTTTGAGTGTTGGCATTGGGGTTCATACATGACCTAGATAAGAGCAGGAACTTTTCAGAGTTTCTTTGCTGTTTAACAGGGAGCCGTTGATGGTTCTGAGTGTAAAGTCCTTATCGAGAGTGTTTATTTTCTCGATACTTGTGACAAAATTTGAGATGTTATGGATTTCACGGGATGAAAATCTCTAGGGTTTGTTGTTTACACTAGGAAGAATTATGCGTTTAGCAGCGGATGGTTTATTCTTCTGATAGTCTTTTATTAGGCAATATAAGTTAGACTTATGTACTTTATAATTGGCTGAATGCAGGTTTTGTAGGGTGGACGTGAGTTTTGTATGTGTTTTGTGCTGCAAAACATAATGGTTTGCGTTTTTGCAGCATCAACTGTAACTTTTCACTTATTGCACAATTATTTCGACGCCGTTTTGTAGAGTTTGTGCCCTTTTGAGAGTTCTCTCAAGAGTACCTGGGATGCTTTAATTAGGAATGTTGCTGTTAGTATATTATATACAACAGGGGAACTAGTACTGAGCCTTGGGGAACTCCAGTGCTCGTGGAGCGAATAGTGTTGATAGTAGTTGATCACTTATTCTCACTCTAACAATTCATTTCGTTAGGTAAGAATGTAGCTTCTGAATAAGTCCTTTAGGCCAGACTTGATTTAAAACTTTTCGAAGGCATCTAGAAGTGTGGTAACGGCGATAGAATTGTCATTGATAGCTTGGGTGACTCTAAATGTAAAGTATAAGTTGATTTACCAAATTGGAATACATATTCAAATTTAAAGATGAAATTGTTGGCTTCGAGAAAATCGTTGAATCTCTTCTTGAGGATAAACTCGAGGACTTTCTCTAGCGTATTTATAATATATTGATCTAAAAAATTACATATCAGTACGGGGTTTACCTGGTTTAGGTATCTCGATTGTATTAGCTCCTTTCCAAGGAGTTTGAAAGTGACTATTTTTAAGGCATGCATTAATAATTTTTGTTAGAAGAGTAATGATACTTTTAGGAAGTTGTTTAAGATATCGTCTGCTTGTCAGGTCCCAATTAGGTATTTTTGCCTATTTAGCAATAACTTTCCATCTCTCTATTAGGGAGGGGGTTTTTAATCGGTTCATGACCTCGATTGTGGTGTGTGAGACTTGCGAGAGTAGTTTTTACTATGAATTCAGTGTTTAGCTTAAAAAAGTGATTAAAGTTTGGCTTAACTGGTGTTTGAAAATTGTAATGAATGGTTATGGAAATTGTTATACCAATTTTTCCCTTTTCTGGTATGCTTTCGTTAAATATTAACTAAGGAATGGAGTACTTGCTAATTATTTTAATATGTTTTGTTAAACTCAGGTCTTAAAGTAAACATTAACTAGAAAAATATGTTACAGAAACCTGGCAGTAATAACCTCCTTCCTGTTTTGCTATACATCCATGGAGGAGCATTTGTTTTCGAAGCAGGTACATTTGAGTACTTCGGACCAAAATTTGTAATAGATTCTGGCATTGTTGTTGTAACCTTCAACTGCAGACTGGGAGTTTTTGGTAAGTACTAATGGTTTACATGTACGGTACTTCTTATTATATTTAAATACCGTTTTCAGGCTTTGTTGGAACTAACGATGGAGTTATTCCTCTAAATATTGGACTTAAAGACCAAATTTCGGCTATGGAATGGGTACAAAAAAATATTCATTTATTTGGTGGAGATCCTAATCATGTGACTATAGCTGGTGAGAGTTCAGGATCATTGGCTGTTGATTATCATCTTTTAGGGCCATGGGAAAATGGCAAACGTAAGTAATGAGATTTTTAGATAAGAGCAAAAAGACTGTAATTTTTTAATTTCTTCACCTGACTAGTATCCAAATCTTGATTTTTTGTCTGGATTCATTTGTCCAAAATTGATTACACCTTAATGACGTTTGTTAAACTGACAACAATAGAATTACCAGACATCTTCGTAACAGATCTATCATAAGTTTGTCGCTAAGAAATTACGGGCATAAAGGAGCTTTGTCAGTAGAAAATGTGACGTTGCTATGACGTTTTATCAATTAAAAATAGTCTAGTGAAATAGTAACAGTAATTTTATTTCGTATTTGATTCATAACAGTTATCCTGTCTTGTATTACTTTAATTTGATCCAAATTTTTAAATTGCTGGTAATTTTTTCACTTATATTATTTTTAGAACTGTTTCATGCCGCAATAATGCAAAGTTTAAGTGTACTTAATGGTCTGCTCGTACAAGATAATGAAACCAACACAGCCTTGTCACTTGGTAGAGCTTTGGATCCTGAATTTAAATCTAATGATACAAAGGAACTGTTAAAGGTGCTCCAGAACGCAGAAGCTAGCGATATTTTTAAGGTAAGGTTTTAAATTTAACATAAAAATATGTTTAAATAAATATGTAAAAATTTGTTTCACATAATTTAGCACATAATATCTCGTGAAGAAACAATACGGACTCAGACTAAATAATATCATAAAAACCAAATGGATGTTAGTAAGCAAAACCCAACAACCACCACAGCAACTGATATTAGACAATAAAAGAATTGAACACGTGGATTCGTATATCTACTTGGGAACAACAGTTAACTCAAATTGGGATTCAGCGAAGGAAATACGTATGAGAGTAGAAAAGGCAAGAGCATCGTTCACTAGCATGAAGCAAATTTTCACCTCTAAAAGCCTCACCCTACGTCTCAAAATTCGACTTCTGAAATGTTATGTATTCCCGGTTTTGTTATATGGAATGGAAGCGTGGACAATGACGCAACATTCATGAAAAAAGTAGAGGCCTTCGAAATGTGGGCTTACCGACGTATATTACATATATCCTGGACTGAGCACGTGACCAACGAAGAGGTACTACGCCGGATAGGTAATGAGAGAGAGGTAGGAATAAGTATAAAGAAAAGAAAGTTGGAATACTTGGGTCACGTTATGATATAATATATATAGAGTACTACAGCTGATCGTTCAAGGGAAAATAGACAGCAGAAGGGGTGTAGGGAGGAGAAGACACTTGTCGCTCCAAAACTTGCGGCAACGGTTCGGATTGTCATCTGCTGAATTATTCAGATCTGCCGTAAACAAAGTCAGAATAGCCATGTTGATTGCCAACGTTCGGAACGGACAAGGCACATGAAGAAGAAGAAACAATCGATGAATGGCCTGATCTTGGTCTTATATTTTTTACCAAATGGTACAATTTTACTTTAGTTACACAGGATAATTAATTGTACCAAATATAAAAACGTATTGTGAGAATGGTTAAAGAAATACGAGGCAAAGAAAGTTTACAAGAGAAAGTTAAATCTACATTTATCCATAGGTATTTCATCTGCGCATTTTTAATTGTATTATCAATATGACAAAAAAAGTAATCAAAGCTAACTACATATTAATATAATATGTGTTATATTTTTTCAGCTACAGGGATTCCTCACAATAGGAGTATCTCAGGAAACAGAAGGACCGTTCTCCTATAACGGTTTTGAAGCATTTTTATCAGGAAATTATAAAAACGTACCTGTACTATCTGGATTTACTTCAGAAGAAGCAGCAGGTATTGGTAAGAAAACTTGCCTGATTTTAATAATGTCTATTCTCATCTAGATATTTTTATGATGTACATATTTTCATAATAATAATTTATAGTAATACTTTAAGTAAACGCTAAGTACAGTATTATATTAACAACCACAATACTATTATTTTTAGCTACTCTAGGTACCACAGACATATTAAAATTTTTCGATGACAATCCAAGCCAACTAATTGATCCCAAAATAAATATGTCTGCTGAAGATAGACATATTGCTGGTACTTTAAGAAAACAATTATATACACACAACACTAGTTTTGTGGAAGATTTGGGCGGTTTTATAAGGGTGAGAATCATCAAATATAATTTTAAATCATTTAACACTTATCCATGTAACACACTTAATTCATTTAGATGTGCTATGTATGTTGAGGCTGATCACACGATATATTTTCATCAGTGTAACTATTTAATTAACTCTTCTTCTTATTGCGCCATCTTTTTTCAAAGGTTGACGATCCAAATGGCAATTTGTAGCTAGGATTTGTAGGAAACTACTGTATGAAAGATTTCTATGGATGAGCGAATAAACTATCTTCTAAGGTCTTTCGGCCACGAGTTCTGGAGTCTTTCAACTGATCTTTAACCCTCAACTTTACCTTTCAATATGATTTGGAGTAATTCATGTCTTTCAGCTTTCAACACATGAGCCAATTATTGTATCTTTCTCCCTTTGATTACGCTAAGTAATTTTTTTGTTAACTTACGCGCCGAAGTACCTTATGATTGCTAACTTTTTGTATCCATGCAATTTTTAGCATTCGTCTGTATACAGATTGAACGAATTTAAAACGGATCATACAATTTGATATAATAAAATGTCTGTTTGAACTGCATTTGAAATAGTGGACCAATATAAAACTTGGACAAACATAAATCCATACCTGGGTATAGACATTGTATAAAATATCGTTCAACTATCTGTCTCGCAACAATGTTGTTTGCGTATGAAGGGCTTGTCTAAGGAAGCGATAATAGTTCAGGAAATGAAGCTCGAAAAAAGTTAAAACCTCGCAATTTTTTCGTCCCGCATGGATTGTGTTGAAATTTTAACAGAAGGTAGAGAATAGCCCAAGGATCAAAATCTATATCAAACCGAAGTGCGCTGAAGGGTTTTAGGGGTGAAAACTACCCCTAATTGTCAAAAATTATAAAATAACATACTAAACCTGAATATGGGTAAGATTTGGTTTGAATTAGTTAAATAATGAATATTTTATACTTTTTAATAAAGTTTCATCATATTTCAACCCTTTAAAAGCAACCCTTGTTAGAGGTTAATGTAAAAAATTACTAATTCTAAAAAAATCATTTCGCCTTGGATCGATTTGGATAAAAATTTGGATTTAAGCTCAATTTACCCTCTGCTTTATAGTTTATGTCATGTCGACGAAACCTGATTGTTCCTAGGGGTAAAAACTACGCCTAATTGTCAAAAATTATAAAATAACATAATAAACCTGAAAATGGGTAAAATTTGGTTTGAATCCCAATCATATTTCAACCCTTAAAAAGCGACCCTTGTTAGAGATCAATGTAAAAAAAATAGTAATGCGAAGAAAATAATTTCGCCTTGGAACGAGTTGCATAAAAAATTGGAATTAAGCTTAACTCACCCTCTGCTTTATAGTTTATGTCATTCCGATGAATCCTGATTGCTCTTAGGGGTGAAAACTACCCCTAATTTTCAAAAATTGTAAAATAACAATACCAATCTTAAAATGAGTGAAATTTGGTTTGGATTAGTTAAATAGTGATTTTTTTATACTTTAAAACACAATTTCATACATTTTCAATCCTTAAAAATCAATTGTTATGAGTGCTATAGGTGAAAACAATTTTTTGTCAAAATTTTGCAACTTTTCTACTTTTGAAAATTACCCTTTACAACATTGCAGTTTTTATAAACTAATTTAATAGATATAAATTGAAAAAAAGTAGAATTAAATACAAAAAAATTATCAACATAAAAAGGCACCATATATTCTTATACATTTACATAAGTAGTTGAAAATATTTACATTTATAGCTAAAAAAATTATAATATTAATTTTATTCGTCATCAATTACATCTTCATCGTGATCTATGTCATCCTCATCTTCTTCAATTATTGGTAGACTAATACTGCACCCTTCACTTGAGCACCCAGAACAAGTAGAGTTAAAGTATAAACCAACTTTTCTGCACCCACATTAAACGCCGCATCCTTTTTTGCATTGGCAAAAAATAATTTTCAAAAGTTCATTGGGTGCAGGTTGTTTGTTCATGCGCACGGGTAATAACAAACCATCTTTATAATACCATCCCCAATCTGTTGCTCTAATATTTTCATTGCCAAGCCATAGACATATGAGCAGATGTTTTATTCTGTTGTATGGGATTTCAAAATAAGAGCGCTTAAAATTTCGAATGTATAACGCCCCACTACCTAATATACCGGTTTTGTAGATTATTATGCTCCGAAATGTACTGTACTATACTAATGGAATTTTCCGAAAAAAAAAAAAAATTGGTTTTTTAACGTATTTCCTTCATTTTTAACGATAGAGTGTTTCTTCAAAAACAATTTTGTAGAAGTTTTTAAGAGCTACAAGGATCTGTGAATTAAATCTTTTTGGAACCCTTGGTTTTTAAATGGGGTAAGTTTAAGGGGCTCGAAAAAGATGGTGCTTGATCTTATATCGATGCTTTAAACGGCTATATCTCGCCAAATATTCATTTTACAACAAATCTAAATAAAGGAAAATTTTAGTCATTAAAAAAGCTACAATTTAGTACATTTTTATTTTTTTCATATATTCAGTATTTTCGGGGATATTTAAAAAAAGAAGGGTAAAAAATATAAAATTGTAAATCGTTTCTCGCTTTAAGCTGTACTTTTTCTAAAATTAAGCATTTTAAATGGGTCAAACTTCTTGGACCTTCTATGGGTATTCTAACAAAACAATTTTCAAATTTGGCATTTGAAGAAAACCGCTGAACATCGATAGGTCGTATTTCGGTTCCTATTATATCGCAAAAACATTTTAAAAAATGAATTGTTTTCATCTTTTTAAAAGCTACAAATTTGTTTTCTACAATTTTTTGATAAAATGCACCATTTCCGAGTTATTCGCGAAAAATCGATTAAAACGTCGATTTTTTTGTCTAAAAGTTGTTACTTTCATTCGCGAATAATTTGAAAAATATCAGTTTTACAAAAAAATGTATAGAACATTTTTTATTTAGAATCACTTTTTTAATTGAAACCTGTAGTTAAAACGTAAAAAAAATTTCACCCCCCAACGCTTTAGCGCACTTTGGTTCGATATAGATTTTGATCCTTATTCTATTATCTACCTTGTGTTAAAATTTCAAGTCAATCCACACAGGACAAAAAAATTGCGAGGTGAAATGCTTCATTTCCTGGCCTATAAGTGGTTTGACAGCATAATAAAATCGTAGATTTATGTGTAGCTTTCAATTTTTATGATTTCAGAATCCAGCAGCCCGCTGAAGTATTGAATTTTTATGATATAATTATTTGACAACCTTCTGTTGGCCAACCACCTACAGCAGAATTGATTCGAAATACATAATATTTCGTATTTAGATATTAGTATTTTACTATCTATTAGATTGGACGTCTAAAAGCCACCATTAACAAATAGTGGTAGATTAGTACCATCAAAGAAAGAACACCTCATCTTTGAGTTCCTACTTGTAGCACGGCACTACTACTGAATCTAGACAATGATTATTTTATTGGTTACTACTCTAAATATTTCTGAAAACTACTAGGTAGTTACCACGTTTTCAAATTGATTATCTAGATATTGGTCTTCTGCTAGGGTCTCTCTTACTCTGAATCTTTCTTTGCACAATACATTTAATTAATTTATATTTATTTATTTTTTACAATTTAATTCAATCGTTTAAATTGTCTGTGAACATTTAATATAACATTATAACAATTATAAATCAATACAGGATATACTTCACTTTTCAAAACACATTTTTTATCTTTCGCTACAGAAAATTAAAGTTATTAATGAATCGATGTCTTTTTAAGTATTGCAGTGACAGATTTTTTATCAATGCAATAATCAAACAAGTTGAATTAACATCACCCTATGTTCCGCACTACTTGTACCGATTTGCCTACATTGGAGAAATATCAGGACCATCGTCGATGCGACCATCTTTGCCACCAGGTAAAGCATTATTCTAAGTAAAGCATTTAGATTAAAATAAAATTTACCAATATTATACTAGTTACAGCTTTTCCTCTCTAAAATATTAACGATATTTAATATTAAAATAAGAATGTTTGACAACATCATGAAGACAATAATTTTTTATCGACTTTTTGACCCAACGAAGATATATTTATAATAGGCCTTCAAAATACTATTACGCTTCATTTCAAATTTCATACTTGGATGAAACTTGGTCTGAAATTTTGAAATTTTGATTTAAATATTGAGGGCGTGCGTACGCACCTTTGGCACATTACGGCATCAGTGACGATTAAGGGCCATCGCAACATCAACCGTCGATTAGTTTGTAAGTTACATCTATACTGCAATTGTAAGCACGTGTAATAGCTTTTCGTAACTGTAAGATGGTTTATATTACATAAATAAAAACTAAAAATATTTGTTGGTTGCACATACCAACAGGGAATATTCAAAGTGATCTAAAGGTGGCTTGCCAACTATTTTTGTTTCAAAACTCTCTTCATCATCATCATCTTGGTGCTACAGCCCTTAGAGGGCCTCGCCCTTCTCAAGCTTTCTACGCCATTCTGTTTTGTCTCTTGCTTGCATTTTCCAGTTACCGACTCTGATGTTATCCGCATGTCCTGAAGAAGATTGATGAATACTGATGATGAAGACCTAGATGATAAGCTATTTCAAGAAGATAATATTGATGCAGAAATTGCTGGGACATATGAAATTTACGTTCCGATAGCAAGTCATTATGAAGAAGATGGTATCCTACTTAGTAAAATTCGCAATAAAATGCGAAAACCTACAAAATAAAACGAAAATTTTATCAAAATGAGAAACAAACACTTCTCCAGCATTCTAGACTCATCCTGAAAGTAATAAAAATCGTTTATTCGAGAACATCAAAGCCACTCATGTAGGAAAATCGCCGATCAAAACATTTTTCGCCGATTTTTCGATGATGAAGTCACAAATTCGATATGAATTAAGCTGAACTGAAACGCTTTATAGCTATCTGCATATTATCGGGTTATCATACTTTGCCACAAAATGAGATGTATTGGTCGAAAGATGAAGATAAGGAAGTAGCCATTGTGAGGGAAACTATGTCTAGAAATCAATATTGATTAATCAAACAAAATATTCATTTGTCTGATAATACTCAATTAGACAAAGATACTAAATTTGCTAAACTTACTCCTATCTTTCATATAATGAATATAAAATTTTTACAATTTGGTATATATTTGAACATAACCTTTCAATTGAGTGAGGAAATGGTACCATATTTTGGACGTCATTCATGCAAGATGTTTATTCGGGGAAAGTTTGTAAGATTTGGATTTTAATTATGGTCTCTTTGTTTACATACAGGTTATTTTTACAAATTCATACCATATGGAGGAAAACAATATAATAATTTTGATTCAGGTAATAGATTGGGAATGAAGGTAGTTTGAGAGTTACTTTCTGTAGTTGACAAGCCCCAAGAGAATGGAGTCTTCTTCGACAATTTATTTTCTTCTCATGCTCTTTTTGCCACACTGCAGGATCTAGGTTTACACACATGCACACGTGCACTAAACGTGCACGTAATATGGCATAATGTGCAAAAAGATGGCACGGGAAACATTCGAATCTGCATTTGATACTGTGTCTAAGGTTTTACTCATAAGATGAAATGATAATTCTGCTATTACAGTACTAACAAATACATACAAATTGTTCTTATTTAAACGGAACGATATAGTCGGAAAAAACACAAAAATATTCTCGTATCTCAACCTAATCTAGGTGCCGAATACAATATGTTTATGGGTGGTGTGGATTTGCACGATCATGGCATTGCTAATTACCGAATCAGAATAAGAGGGAAGATATGGTGGTGGCCTCTATAAATCTTATTGATAGTAAATAGCTGTAAATAGATATAGAATAGTGGCTGCTCACGCGGGTTGTAGATGTCCCTGGCAAGACAGTTTGCCTGGCGAGGTAAGATTTGACAATATTGGTCATTTGATTAGAAGGCACCATACAAGTGTACGAAAGAAATGTAGGTTATGCAAAAGTAATACTATGTATTTATGCAAAAAATTTAATATTCATCTTCATCCCGAGTGTTTCGACTAGTTTTATACAAAATAATAATTATGTTTTATGTATAACAGTATTGGCCAAGAGTACGTACACACATCCTTAATTTTTTAAATGCTATTGGTATTTTTTTTGTTATAAAATCATAAACGCATCTCAGTTGATGCATTTTTAACTAGTTTCAATAAAAAAATTTGAAAAAATTATTGTTTTCCGTTGTTTGGCTGTTAATAGGTTAATAAGCTAGAGAGCTACTTTGCTAAAACCTTTGCAAAACTATAAGTTCCTTGTTAAGATTCTTCAATAGCTTTGTTGACCTAAGATTGCAGAAAGAAATATTTTTCCAACTTGATAATGCGCATCACTTATAATGTCTTAATCATGCAGCTTTTAATAGCGGTTTTCTAATGGAACAGAATTAATATTCAGACATCATCTAGGAATATTTTTTTTGGAAACAGTTTTTACAATCTTGATAAATTCATCATCGTTTTAGAATATACAGCTAGTTAAAATAATATTTCTTTATAATTCAGATGTAGATGCTATTATGCATGGTGAAGATGTTTATTATCTTTGGGCAGATGAATACAACTCCGATCTTAGTAAATTTCCAGAAGCAGATCAGCTCTTTCTTCACAAGTATGTCAAACTCTGGACTAATTTTATAAAATTTTAGTAAGTATTCTTAATATTTTAATATCAATTTTATTAATAATAAGATTATTAATCACAAGATCAAAGAAAGGATTATAGGCATCCATTTTCAGAGAGGATGACGGGCCCGGACATACTTAAATCCGAGGTAGAAGAAGCAATAAAACGGATGAAAAGCAGGAAAGCTATAGGGCCTGATAATATCCAAGCAGAATTTTTAAAACTCTTGGAGAAAGAAGAAATAAACTGGATGACGGCTGTATTCAATAAAATATACAATACAGGAATCATCCCTGATAACTGGCTAGAATCAGAATTCATAGCACATTCATTTCACAGATACCTAAAAAACAGGGGGCTAAAAAGTGCGAAGAATATCAAACAATCAGCCTAATGAGCCATATGTTGAAACTGTTTCTTAGAGTCATCCATGGAAGAATTTATAAGAAGTGCGAGAAACAAATATCGGACAGACAGTTCGGCTTCATTAACGCAGTGGGTACCAGAGAGGCACTTTTCGGAGTACAGGTACTGATTCAAAGATGCAGGGACGTTAGCTGCGACGTATACGCGTGCTTGATCGACTATGAAAAGGCTTTTGACAGAGTTCAACATCAAAAGATGATAAACATTTTAAAAAAGGCCGACCTGGATGACAAAGACCTCAGAATAATTTCGGAACTCTACTGGAATCAGACCGCATACATGAAAATTACCGGAGAAGAAACAGATCACATAAAAATACTACGTGGAGTTAGACAGGGATGTATCCTATCACCGTTGATATTTAATATGTACTTAGAGAAAATTTTTACCGAGGCTCTTTACGGAATAGACAAAGGCATCCTTGTAAATAGTGAAAGAGTAAACAATGTTAGATATGCCGACGACACCATGGCGATAGCAGATAGTTTAGAGCGACTTCAGAGGCTAATGGACAGAATAAACGAGTACAGTCAACAGTACGGACTAAACATTAATACCCACAAAACGAAACAAATGATTATCAGCAAGGAGAATATAAACGGGGCTCATCTATACATTAATGGGACGCAGATAGAGCGAGTAAAACAGTATTGCTACCTGGGAACTATTATAAATGAACAGTGGAGCAATGTACATGAAATAAACATGGTTTAAGAAAACCTCAACGAAGCTGTTTTGAGCCGCAGCGAGCAAGGTTATGATTGCCAATATGATTTTCAACATCCGAAACAGATAGGAACCAGAAGAAGAAGAAGAAATTGTTAACTGTTTTCTGTGTTTTTTGAATAAAATCGAACTCGGGAGAATAATTCTACACATTTATTGTATTAATCGGACTAGATGTGCACCAGACGATGATAATAAAATACTAATGTACGAAAACCAGGTGCTATGGCTTCAAAAATAATGTCAAAATGAGACACCATTGATTCACCCTCCTTTCCACGGGTGACTTTCTTGTGACACAAATCCACGGATGGGGTCTATCAGGACCAAATTTTAAACATTATTTTTCTCTTTGAAAATTTTTTTTTAAAATATTTTTAAGGAAATTTACTGATGTAACGTTGTACTACCTAAATGTACATATAATATATTATGTATCAATATGTATTGGTATAGCAAGTATCACCATTATTTTTCTACAAGAGTTTATTAAAAAAATCATGCACGGTAAAATACAAAAGAAAAATATAAAAAAAGACAATATTATGACTCTATATACTTACAGTAATACAAGTAAAAATTAAATATCCAAAATTAAAATAGAAACACAAAATAGGGGGGGGGGCGGTAAATAATGTTAATTTTGTTCCTACACAATCGGCACAACAAGATTTTATATGTTCCATATATAACCAGTTTTTGCACAATTGGCAAAAATACCTAGTTTTTCGTTTTTTACAATACTTACACCATCCCCGTTTTCCCGGGGCTGTGTCATCCCTCATCGTTTGCTCAATTCCATAAAATTTTGCAGCAAGTAACCGTGATGTTCTCGGTATACGCATATTTAGCGCTCGTATTTTCATATTTTTCTGGACTAACGCAATTCCTAAAGACTTCAGAAACAATCGACTAGAAGACCAAAATTCTGCAGTCGTATTATTGGATCTTTGTATATAATAAATAATACATTTATAGCTGCCATATTAGCCAAGATATAGCACAAAACAAGAAACGCCCACCCACGGGTGGGGTCTGTCAGGATAATTTTACAGGTAGCAAGTGAATGGATTCATACAATTTCACCAAATTATACGAAAGTGTACTATTTAGTGCCATTAAAAGGTACACCGAGTCTGAGAAAAAATATATAAAAAAAAATGGAAAAAATTAAGCAATTTCATTTATAGGTGCACTGATAGAGCCCACCCGTGGGAAGGGGGGTTAAAATGGTTAGATCAGGACGTTAAGTCCTTAGCGTCTATTTAAAACCCACACTGTGGCGGAGATATGAAGATAATATCATCTCTATACGACATCATCAATCAGAGTTATTAAATGCTTTTCTTAATAGTTCTTTAACCCCCAAAAACCACCTGAAAAAACTCGATAAGACTCTCTACCATTAAAAATAAGTAAAAATTCATTTATTCGTGAAGACAATAGGAAAAAAAGTACTATAGTGCAACACAACTAGGGATTTGTTAATTGTTGAAGGCAATAACTTCTTCTTCTTCTTGATAAGCAATTCTGCTTGTTCATTGGTGGATAAGTACCTCTATGGAAAGTTGTCACTCCATATTTTGCTATTGGTTTGAAATTAATAGATAATACTCTTGAACCGATTAAAACCTTACTCCCACCTGCCCCAGAAAAACTCCCCAACACCAGAGAAAGAACCCAGTACCTTCTACTCGATTACATATACAGGCAAAATATCAACAAAAATAGCCAAACACATAAAAAAGAAAGGGATAACACCAGCTTTCCGAATAAATAACAACCTAGGTAAATATATTAAAAACAACGAGAGCCAAAATAAAAAACACTTACACAGTGATGTGTACAAATTTAATGTGGCGACGGCCCAAAAACTTACATCGGTCAAACTGGTAGAAACTTAAATAAACGAGTAGCAGAACATAAAAGGGCTTTCAATAATAAAAAAACAGATTCTACATACGCACTTCACCTTCTAGATCACAATCATTCTTTTAATGACGAATTTAAAATTCTTCACATTCAAAATACAGGTCTTAAGCTATCCTTGTTAGAATCTATGGAAATCAACAAATTAAAAAACATAGATATATTTCTGAATGACTAACTTCAGACAAACAGTTCTCCCCTCCTCAACCTATTTCATTTAGAGATAAGTTTACACTTATAAAGTGTAAACGCGTGCCAAAAATAGATCACTTGAGAAAGGCAATCAGCCGAAACAGCTGTAGTAATAAGAGATTAAAATAAATTTTGTGGAAGTTTGAAAACAAAGTTTTCAGTGTTTTATTTTTACATAATTTATACATTGAAATCACATTTATATGAAATTAAAGTTACAAGAAAAGTAAAACTATGGTTTATTTGCAGTAAAAATAGGAAACTGTATTGAAATATCACAAGAATATAGCTTTAGGACAATAGCAAAAATAATGATATTATTATTAATGAAGATAATATTTTAATTAAATATAATTTAAACGTATATTATTATTTTAGCAATCCAACTCCTGAAGTCGACCCACTGTTGGACAACGTCATCTGGCTACCATCTGAACCAATCTCATTAAGATTTCTAAATCTTAATGGAACTTTAAGTATGCAGGAAAATCCAAGGCAGTTCAAGGAAGTTAACGATATTATGGAAAAGTATATGCAACCACCTTTTGTAGTATTTGATTAAATAAATATAAATGCTTTTTAAGGAGTAATTTTTTTAGAAAAAATGTGGTTAATGATTATGTTGTATTTATTTATTTCTCGTTTTTAACATGTTACAATGTAAATATAAAATACAAAACTCCACACGTTTACCTTTTTTTAAATCAACTCTTTAATTTTTAATTAATAACATCAACACTTTAATTATTAACATTTGCCAGTAGGTACAATTAGAAACGGATACGCAACTGGAATAAAACATATTTTTCAAAATAAAATCGTATTTTTAACAAAAATTTAAAAGAAATCAGTGGCAGGGTTGTAGAAAATTATTCGATTGAAGTTATTGCTCCTCTGTCCATGGGTTTATCCATGGACGTATAAATAAAGATGGACTAGGCATGCCCTGCACTCTGTTCACCTAAATTTGAAGTCAGAAAGTTTATAGGCGCGGGGAAAGAGACGAGGTGATAGACTGTGACATTACCTTTTAAGCCAGCGGCGTACCTTCCAATATTTGAAAGTTATTTCAAACAGTTTTTTCACTTGAATAAATAATGACTATTGGTTTTACTTTTGCTTTCTTTTATTTTTAGTATCGTAAACATATGAAATATTTCGAATAAGTGAGAAACAACAAACGGTGAATAATTTTAATTTTCAGTGTATAGAAATATATTTATAAAAATTAATTTACACAAAAGAATAAAGATGGAGTAAATAAAATCGTAAAGTACTTTATATAATATTTTATTTAAACTAAAATATCACACAAGCAATGAAAAGTTGAAAAAATTCTTCCCCAAACATTAACCTGTTCAGGGTATTGAGTATGTTCTGCTCTTATCCAGTGAGCGATAAGTTGAAAAAAATAGTGAATTATGGTGTATAACTCCAGCTTAATTGTTAGTTGGCAACATTAGTATGTCACGTTAGACATAGCAGTAGACAGAAGAAAGATAAAAATTCAGGAATATGTATTTAAGAAAATATTTATAAACGCAATAAAACCACAAACCATTGTTTAACAAAACATAAACAACAAACCATATATACAACAATATATAAAACACATTGTTGCATATATATGTTGCATATATAAAACTAATTGTTGCATAATAAAACCTTACGAAATAGTTTACGAATAAGTTTTAGTTGCTGCATGTGATACACAAATATATTTATAGATATATATAGATATATATATATATATATATATATATATATATATATATATATATATATATATACATGTTTTCCGGTTTTGACTCCGCGTTAAATAGTTTTGGTTTCTAGAAAAACCATTGTTTTGACGACGTTTCGGCAAGGTCACACTTGCCATTGTCAAGTCAGATTAGTTCTGCTTCGCGCAGTTCTCCTGAAACATTAAGACAAAGCAGAACTAATCTGACTTGACAATGGCAAGTGTTACCTTGCCGAAACGTCGTCAAAACAATGGTTTTTCTAAAACCCAAAACTATTTAACGCGGAGTCAAAACCGGAAAACATCTGAAATCACATATAGCTCCCGCGGAAATTTCAAATCCAATATATATATATATATATATATATATATATATATATATATATATATATATATAAATATATATATATATATATATATATATATATATATATATATATATTTACGGCATAAAGTGGACTCCGCCCATGTTAAAATTCAGGTTCAGGTGAGCTCCGTGGTCAAGTGGACACCGATATACGGAGCTCACTTGACCATTCCATAATATTGGCTCTGTCGATTCGTCAACATGTATAGTTTCATAATTTTTAAAAAAATTTTGGAGCCCATAATTATCCCTGTATCATAAATGTATATCGCTTAGTTCACGTGTATATATTATAGGGGTCGTTCAGATCTTTTTCACTGTATATTCTAACCATACGTATATCGGTTTAAGTAAACTCTGATAGTTTGGCAACTCTGCTATAAGATGTATAATTCTCGCGTAAAGTCTGGACGGTTTATATGGACTCCTTAGTTTTGTTATCATTCATACGCATTACAGTGTGTAACAGATATGTCTGTATACTATTAACTACCTGTTTTTGGTAGGTACAAGTTCTCTAAAAATAGCTTTATAGATACAAAAGGATTTCATTACCAAATTGGATTTTGTTTCATATGCGGAAATTTCCTAATGTATTTTGTTAACGTGAATATGTCTTCATAAGTTTTATTTAAGAATCCGATTAATAAGAACTACTTTTATTTCATCCATTATTTTATGATATCTTGTATACAGCTTTTTTATTGTTTTATTTCTGGTTTTATCTATGTACTACATATAAGTTTGGATAAAAGGTTATCTTAAAATAAATATTTAAGTGCTTAAATAGATATTTTTGTGTAAAAATGGGTAGTAGTGCACAAAAAAAGAAAGAATTTATCTAACAAGCATTATACCACTTCTCCAATATTACATACTTCTGAATGTTTTATTTTCTATTTAGAGGTAATATGATATCAATATAAGTGGAGTTAGTTTCAAATTTGCAATGATCTTTATAAGTAAAAGCTTACTGGCTATACTTAACATGTTTAGTTCAAATAAATAAACCTTGTCCCTTCAGAAAAGAGCGATTTGAATGGAAAAGTCAACTAAGAAAGTGTGATGAATCTTATACCACCCCACATTCACTCAGGTTAACCGGTGTTTGCAGGCAAGAGTCTTCCAGGCAAATTTAAGGAAGATAACAACCATAAGGAAGTTCCTTTCGAGGGTTCAGATGGCGAGAAGCGGCTTATATATTTTTTGTATATCTTGCAGATGTGATGATCTGATGACTGACTAATTTATAGCTAAATATACTTACGTGTTAAGTATGTGTTTTTGTCACCCATACTAGCAAGGTATATTCGGCAGCATAAGCATAGAGTTTAAGTCTACGTTTTAAGGATGGAAGAATGTGCTTCCTATTTTGAGCTGACAAGATTGCGGAGAATATTATTTTTCTGGTTCTAGGTTGCCATTTGGTTTTAAACAAAGTTCTGTGATAGAAACTATCTTCAAGGTATTTATAGCAAGTCCAGAGTTTAAGGATTTCATGACACTATTGGTTCAGGTATATCTTCAGATTTGTGAAAGCGTCTCTATTAGGGACATTTCCGGGGTTTGGCTTAAAATTGATTTATAATCTATTTTTATTATTTCTAATCCTATTCCTATTACTACTTAAAACTAAACATTTGTCATCATTGTCCGGTTTATTTAGTAATTCTTCTTTCTCTACTCGTTGCTTGGCCTCTCCTTGGTTCTTTTTATGTTGCTCTGGTAGTTTTTTGAACACGCTATTTCCAACACCTTTTCTTCTTTATACCACCATCTCCATTCCTTGCCGTCCACTGTGATTTTATTGTATCCTATTTTGACCATTTTTCCATTTTCCCTCATTTCTCTTGCTTTATCTCTTAAAGCTTCCATTTTCTCTCTCTCCTTTTGTGAGATCCTCTGTAATCCATATTTTTTCGATCTTCACATTCTTAAGTTTGTATTTGTTTGTATTTTGTCTTAAGATTGTTGTTTTTTCTTCTTCGCTTTCAAGTTCAATTAAGCATGTTTTTGTTCCTATTTTTTGTGCTCTTTTAATATTGGTTTTGACTCCAAGATGATTTTCTAATATAGTAGTCATTCCCTCTTTCAATGTTTTTGGGTCTTCAGAGTCTATTTTTGATCCACTGATGATTATATTCTTTTTTCTTTGTCTAACCTTTCTAATGAGCGTTTTAGATCATTTAATTCTTCCGTTATCTTTTTGTTATAGGTTTTGGTTAGTTCGTTTTCTCTTTTCAGTTCTTTTTCTTTTGTCCATTCTTCCTTCACCATTTCTATTTCCAGTTTTATGCTTTTTATTTCTTCGTTATTTTGTTTTATCTCTTCTTTAACTTAATTTATATATCTTCTCATCTCCTTATTGTCTTCCTTCATTTCTGTTTTCAGCTCTTTTATTTCCGTTTTAATCTCCTTATTTATTTCTTCTAGTAGTTTCTTTAGTTCTTCCATTTCGCGATTTTTTATGTTATCCTTTGGAGATGTTCTTAACGTGGTTTTGCTTCTTTTGAAGGCTTCCTCCTCGTCAAATGAGTTATCGTGTTCTGGCTTATTTCTTTTGCTGTTCATTCGATTTAGTTATTGCATTACATTTACTTTTAATTTATTATTTTAATTTAATTTAATTCCAATCCCTTTAATCAAATCTATTTTAAGGCCAGATCTGGATTTTTGTAATAAAATTATGTGGCTTTTATTTTAATCATTAATTTTTTGTCAGCACTAATTACTTTCTTATCTGCCAAAAAAAAAAACAAAAAACGCGTAGGAATGCCTAAGCAGGTCGACCCTTCGAACATTCGCCAAAACCACTTTTTTAATCTTTCACTCAATTATTCATTTACTTAAGACTTGTTAAAATTATTAAAATAGTTCTATCTTACTTGTCTGATGGTATTTTCTTTATTAACTACTATCACCTGTATGCACTTAACTTTTGATACTTATTTTTGAACTCGCTTGAATTTTCTAACTTATAATTTCCGAATAATTTTAAGTTTATGACGAAGCGAAATTAAATGAACCTACTGTTGTCACTTGCAGGACCGTTTCAAATAGTCAAAAAATTAATAAACAGCCTACTAAAATAGAAATATCGCCTATTTAAGACGTAATCCATTACCGGCCCAAGGTACAAAGCACTCCTAGCATATGCTAATGATATAGATCTCATAAGAAACTCTCTCGTCCGCAAACATCTTCAATAAAATGAAAAGAGCACGAAAAATTGTTCACTTAAAATCAACGAAATGAAAACCAGATACAAGCGAATCAACAAAAGAGACCAATTTAATAAATCTAGATAAAATATTAAAGTTAACAATCACAATTTCCAAAATATGGAACACTTTAAATATCTTATAAGATAAATTATCACGGTTAATAATATTGCCACTAAAAAATACAGAGAATAATTCAAACTTTAGACCTATTTTAATACATGGATGCG